TCCGTGGCACACGACCAGGCTTATTCAGACTCATTGACATATCTCTCACGGGGAGGATATGAATGATAGGAGTCTGTCCTGTGCGTGCATGAGCGTTACGCTCGTCACGGCTCCACCAGGATGGTTCCTGGTCGCGCGCGCGAATAGAATAGATATTCATTTCATCAATTCAATGCAATTTATTTGAAACGAAAGAAACGCAAAAAAAAATCTATCACGACGAGTCTATTCGATTGAAAAGCGTTGAACGCGATGATTGTCCCAATCGACGACATAGAGATTGCCATGTCGATCGAAGGACAAACCCTCGGGAGACTTGAACTGATTTGCTTTTTCTCCATAACCATTTCCACCCACAATGACAGTGCCTTGTTTCGCTCCTTTAGGCCAACGCATCACTCGATGATTCCCCGAGTCTGCCACATAGATGGTACCCAATGTATCGACGAACAGTCCTTGAGGATACCACAATTGTGTCAGAGCATTTCCTTGTCCTTGACCTCCAGCGACAACAATTCCTTCTTTTGCACCTATATTCCATTTCATTACACGATTATTGTACTTGTCTGACACGTAGACAGTCAGTTGTTGATCGACAAAGATGTAGCTCGGTTCGTTGAGTTGATTGAGACCAGCACCATCGCCATTGCCACCAGCCACAATAGTTCCATTCTTGTCTCCTATTTGATATCGTCTTACTTCATGTTTGTCAGTGTCAGAGATGTAGAGATATCTCTGATCATCCATGGCTAATCCCCAACATTCGATGTTGTCGATGAGAATTTCTCCTTGAGTTGTGCCACTACGACGAGACCATCGTACGACTCGTCGATTTCCTTGATCACAAATAATGAGACTATCAGTCTCTTTGTCAATCAATACATCGGTTGGGTAATACAATTGATCCAATCGATTTCCTTGGCGATTGCCACCAGCTACAACTTGTCCATTCGTATCACCCATCTTCCATTGGATGATACGATGATTCAAGTAGTCAGCGATGACTATCGTTTGATCATCATCAACGAAGAGTCCATAAGGCCAGGAGAGTTGATTGGTGGCACTGCCTTCTCCATGGCCTCCAGCAACAGTCACTCCATTCTGTTTCCAACGGGCATCGACTGGAATATTGGGAATTACTACAATGAAGGAAAAAGAAAAGGAATCGCCGTTATCGAAGGGGTCTCGTCTCTCGTGAGAGCAAGCGCTACAAAATATGACATTCATCTTTGAGAATGCTCATTCCACAGATAAAAATTCAGAAGTCTTTTCCTAGTTTTCTATGAGAAAAAAAGGATTTGGTAACGATTCTTACATCTATGTTACTTCTAGTTCTTGCCAAGATCTTTTTGACCCTAAAGACAATACCTGGAGATTGTTGTAAGGAGGTTCTCCAAGAAAGAGTAATACCAATTTCATGTAAGTTTTTGATAGAAAAACATAGAGATCTGAGAATTTTATTCAGAATTGCAAGAATTCAGAATCTTTTTGGCAGAATGATCAGTTATATGAACATCAGAGAAGATTCTATCTGTATCTTGTAAGAAGAATCGTTGAACAGCGAAATATCAAACCTAATCTCTATGTTTTTTAGGATGTAGATCTGCCGAAGAATCTCCTAAGTATTTGCATAGAGAATGCCGGTGAAATTTTATAAGACTTTTGATAAGTTATGTGAAGCTGTTCGAAGAACAACCGTGATGTACTCTGAGT